CAAAGTGCCCGGCTTGGTTGGTCTTCACTGTTTTCATCAGCTTTCGCAGTTTTCAAGCTTTCGCAGTTTTCATCATTTCCATGTCTTCATCGTCCTCGCACAATCCACATTTAATCCTTGTATAGTCCTCACATAATCTCTATAAAATCTCATATCATCTCCACACAGCCCTGTATAATACCTGTATGTGTTCCGGCGTCGGGATTTTCATGAAGGTGGGTCTAATCCTTAATCTGAAGTCAGTATGACATGGGGCCATACAACCCAAAGGTTACATGAGGGATTCTATGCGGTAATATAAATTAAGAATATCAAGGAAAATATGGGGTTTGCATCGGGTAATGGTAATAGTACTTGTGCTAGTAGTTCGCATTTCGTTCTTAGTGATTTTAGTTAGCAATTCTTAGTGATTAATAGTTAGCAATTCGCAAATTGAATAGTAATACTAGTAACTACCACTACCCAGACGTCAATGAAATACAAAATTCACGGCTTGCCTTTTGTCCTGACCCCCACTAAACTTAGCATATAAGTTTTGTTGCTGCTCTTCTTTTTTTGATGCGCTGGGCGTATGTTTTTTGCTGCTGATTTTTTTTTTGATCCCTCACCCTCGCAGGTGTGAGAGACCAGAAACTAGTGGCCAACTTTATCACGGGCACTCCCATAGTCAATCGTGTCAGCAACAGCACAACCATGATGCTTGCGTCGGAAAGCAGGCTAGATGCGGCGCATGCGCAGAGATGGGAAGACTCGAAGATTTATGCTCTGAAGAGGTGCTGGCAGTCCTGAATGACAGGGATTCTTGATGGCATTCTGGCTGTGGGTGCAGGCGCAAGAGGAAGAGAGTTGCCCCACACATGTTGAAGTCCAAGGAATTGTTTTGCTTCTTGGACAGCTTCCTTGAGGATTTGGTGGAGGTGGTCTTCGACTCGGCCAACCTTCGGGCGGTGAAGCCGGGGCAAAGCACCGGGTTTCACACCGACTCTGCCGCAGACCCGGAAACTTTAGAATAGGAGGAGGGCTTGGGACCAACGGCTAGTGAGTTTGGCAGGTCTACATGGGGAAGCTGATGGTACCTGAGCAGCCACCAGTCCTGGCATGTTGGATTGCTCTCATGCCGATTCCTCTCGATCTTGGCGGATTGGTCCTCTGCCGCGGCTCCAACTCGCACCCAGGCAAAGCAAAGCTGTCAGAACTCAGAAGCTCATGACCACATTCTGCCAGGATTTCAAATTCTGCGAAGAACATATGGGAAGCTTGACCTGGATGACAGCGACATTGGTGGGACCGGTTGGTTTACGGAAGATCCTGATGAAGTCGCATGCCTGCATCAATCACAAGCACTGTATTTGCGCAATGGTCCTTTCTCGAAGGTTTGTATGCCTAGAATTGACGTGCAAGGACAAGACAAGGTTTGTCTGAGGTCTCAAAATTTGGCGGCTGCTGGGAAACTGCTGCATATGGACCAGGTGGGGCTTGACGAGCTCTAGATCTAGGTGCTGCCACTGCTGTGTGTATGGATCTAAGGTGACGTTGTTCTCTTCACAATGCACACGATGCATGGCAGTTCCGTGAACCGCACGGACTCCTGGCGCCTCTCCCTAGATTTCCGAGTACAGTCATCCAGGGCACCTCCCGCGGTCTCACAGAACAAGGGCAGGCATCCACATGTATGCGAGATTTCCTGTATTTTCGTGACCGCTCTTGACTCCCATGAATGCAGGTGGTCACGATTGCGGCACGATCGATTGGAGTTTCCAAGAAGTATGGAGGAGGCAGCCAACACGCAGTGGCATCGTTATTAGAAGCTTTTCCTTCACTATCTGCAGAGAAGAGCGAAGTCCCGCTAAGTCACCAAGTCACCTGTACGTCATTCATTTTTTTGGGAGTGTCACTCCTGAGTCCTGAAGGGCAGTCATGCGACCACCCATTTGCTGATGGAAGCTGCGAGACAGCCAACGACATCTCCAGTCGGGAGGGGCTTCTGTCCACACTAGCAATGCCTGGGTCCTGTCACGAAGGGTGCTAGTTGAATGATGTTTAGGCAGAGGTTGGAAGATTTGGAAGTTCAAGGACTTGACCCCACATCACTGTTGAAAGCGCCAGGCATCTCACGGAGCAAAGTAAATGTCAAGGAGTTTTCAGACTACGTGGTTTGGAAGCACAGCGCAGCCCGTAGCACTCCCGCAACACCTTTGACCTCTTGAAGTGCACTTGTTCAGATGCAGCCTCTGTGGCAGATAAACATAGACAATTCAAAGATGATTAGGCATTCACATTTAAATGCGAGTCGAAACTGCGCCAGTGAAATAGAGCAGAGTGTTCACTTTAGTATCTTTTTCCATAGAGCTGCTAGGGAGAGCCAGACCTCACATTAAAAGGTTTGCCGCGTGTTCCAAAAGTGCCTTTCAACCGGTTCCCAGCAAGTCACCTTGCATCTTCGGAGGAACATCTTCTTATGGACTTGGAAGTTCCTTGTTGGTTGCAGCACATCTTGCTTGCTTTGATAAAGGGGCACACTTGTTGAAGGCGAAAGCAGCTTGGAATCTCGAAAAGGCGCAAGCATCAGCAAGCTGGCATCCGGCTCCATGCAGCTCCAGACGTGAGATTAATTGAATCTGCAGGAACCTTCTGCCAAACGGCGGTTGCCTGATCTGGCTGCTGGAATGAAGCACCGAGTGATTCGAGCAGCCGTGAAAATGGATTCGCACGCTTTGATGCAAAGACTCAGTTTGCCAATACCTGCATTGAATCACGGGCATCGAGGGGCATCAAGGTTGGTCCAGCCACAGACGCATGTGGGTTACTCTCAAACGGTGCCTCTGAGGGAACCATCTATAGTCCTGCCCTTAGTATACGCAGGTGTGGCAATGTCATCGTAATTCTGGAAACACCACACCTTCTTGTCACATGAAGAGCCATGTCTAACAGGTGCAATCTGGATTTGTCAAGAGTAAAGCACGACTTTGGGGTGACTGCGCTCAGTGGCCGTGCAATGGGGCAATCAAAGCCAAGGGTTCGACATGCAACTTCGATGACATGCAGGTGGAAATTGATGAAGGTCGGAGAACTCTGATGGCCACCAGTGATGCAGCAACACCAGCTTCGTCAAGTACATCTCTGGTACGAGCCAGGGACATGCAAAGGGAATTGGAAGAGTGGCGCCAACAAAGGTCTGCCATGCAAGCCCGCACCAAGAAAACGATGGTCATGCAGAAAAAGACGCGGAGGGCAGCACGAGCGCTGCCGCTGCAATGCCGTACCAACGTTGAGGGTCTGCAAACTGCTGCGCAAGAGCGCGACATGCGTCGGGAATTGGAGCGATGGAAGGAAGCAAAGGCAGCTCGGCAGGGCAAAGAAAATTCGCCCTCTCAGATTGATGCCGTGAAGGTGTTGAGAATCCCACAGTCGCGACCGTTCTTGGAAACGTCTCCGGTTTCCAGCTTGCACTTGCGTGGAGACACGGGCTCGCCGGGCAATGCTGTTGCGGAGGCTCTGGCAGCCATGGAAACCCATGAGATGTCAGCACCACCACCGTCGCCTACAGCAGCCAACTCCAATGGCGTGCACCTCGGCCAACAAAACGTGTATTCGCATGCGCTGTGCTCAAGCGCAGGACTCTGCGTAACCACGGCAATGCAGCCACACGCACTACATGCTGGGGTGGTCGCGGCATTTGCTGAGGCCTGTTACGTGCACTGTGACCTCTGTGATGTACTGTGCACCTGCCTGCACCTGCCCTCCAGCCAGCTTCGTCTGAAAAGGAGCTGCAGCCAGTGAGCACGACCAGTGCCTTGGCAAGCCTCCACAGGGATCCAGTGGGCGTTTTCCTTTGTCAGATGCAAGCCAAATGAGCAATTTGCTCCGCCGGAACCAGGTGATGCAATGCCTTCCAGGCCCGGGCTCCTTTTGCATTACGGACTGCAACGACTTGGGCTGCCAGGCAGCCTCAGATTGGAGTGGAGGACGACGTCACGCACGTGTTCTGTCAGCAGCAGCGCACGTCGCGTGAGGATGTGCACGCCAGCAAAGAGCAGGCACACCGTGACGGTAGTTTGTTTGACCTGATACCAGCATGGCTTTAAGGTATCATATTAGGAGATTTCCATGCAGGCAGACATCTGTAGACTTATTTGAAGAACTAATATGGACACTTTGAGCGCCTCAGCTTGCCTGAAAGCTTCCAGCAGGAGCGTCGACAGCATCTTCAGCTATTAGATCGTCTTGCAGTGCAGCGGGCTTAGATGCAGCTCAGCTGCGTGATTTCACCCAAGTCATTTGCTAGAGACAAAAGATGTTGGGCAACCGCAAGGATGGACAGCCCTGTAAAAATGGCTAAAGCATTCAGGAGCATGGGTCAGGAGAGGTGGAGTGCATTGACAACATGTCTCGCCGCAAAAGACTGGCAGCATGCCACGGGGTTGGCTCCAGGCGAAGGACTCCTGAGCACCCTTCCGGCTCATGTGTGTTTTGCAAAGCAATGCAAAGATTTCAAATTATTTTCTGAATTCTAATCACTGTCCTGGGTTCAGCAGCCATGGCAAAATGCCAAGAATCGCCTCCAATTTGACATAGAGATCTTTGGAAAACGTCAGCCATCCATCATGAAGAGACCCGGCATGCAACTGCTGAAAACCTTGGCCTTGGCCTTGTGCAAGGTTGCAGCAAGAGGCGCTGAGAATGGGAGACCAGACCGGCTCGGAGAAGGCTGAAGACTCTTCTTGCGCAGCTTGCGCAGCCATGGCGTAAGCTCTGCCTCAGGCGCTACGTGACCAGGCCAGATTTTCCGAATTCGCAGCTTCTCCTGCTTGTTCAGTTGGCTTGCCGGCTCAGTTCGAGCAAGTGACGAGAGAGCTACAGGCCTTTCTGCTGTCAACTCCGCACTCTGTACTGTGCGTATCTGTGCGTGTTGTATTGGTGCGCATGATATGCATGTGTTATGTAAGTGCGATTGCATGCTGACCAGGAGATGACTGAGCGGCAGCGACGTGAGGCCCGTCCAGCCTGCGTTTGTCAGAGCTCTGCTGTGACGGTCTACGAACGATAAACTTTGTAGCGACGAACTTAGGACATGGTCCGCTGGCGATGCCGCAGTGGCCTCAGCCCGTCACTTCTTCCTGCCTGTTCTGCATGTCATCTTGGTGCAGAAACGAGTGGACTTAAGTCTCAAATGGCTCGCGCTAGCAATACCCGAGGCGTCCAACAACACGTAGTTTCATGGCCAGCGCAAACAGCCCTCGACATGGAGGCCAGAGTGCTGATACTCCTGCAGCCTGGTATGGGCGATGCGAGGGCAGCTTTGAGTTGTCTCCCGAGCTTATTCTCCAAGTCAAGGTGGCCACAGAAGCCCCTGTGCAGCTGTACAAAGGAAGGAACCTACTTAATGAAAACAACCAAAAATTAAGATGTAGACAGATGATGCTAGATTTGTATCTTGACGGTACTGCCTGAGTGACTTCTGGAAGTATCCTTTTCCTCTAAAAGATGACGACTTTTGAGCACTTGCAGCTTCAAGGTGTCTAGGAACCTTGCTTGGCATCCACACGTTCTAACTTTGTCGTTAGTTTGATGTTGCTGTCTTTGCTCCACAATCTTCTATTTCAGGGTACATTATACAGTCCTTGACCATGCCTGTCCCATCAGCTGAGCTATGTGACACGTGAAACAGTGACAACGTATGCCGTAGCTTTCAGTGATGCCGACTACTTGTAGCAGAGTCGGCGGCAGATCTCCAAATTTCATCTCCGCATCAGGACGCCTTCACCATGGCTCACTAGGCAGCGTTCCAGAGCGATTCAAATGTGCCAGGATCACCTCAGCAGGGCGCACGACCTGTTCAACTTCTGGTTCTTCGAGGCATCCTGAGCCGTTGAAGCAACGTCAGCAATGTCGGCCAGTAGTGCCAATGGTCAGATGCGGGAGCGCGTCAAGCTGCGGCTGAACTTCCAAGCTCACAAGCTCTTGCCGATACGTGAGATCTGACACGCATGGTTGGCTGCACTGTTTAGCGTGATTTGGTGGGGACCATAGTGGACGGGCTCTGACTGTCCTTGCAAGTAAGGCTTAGCATTCCTCTTCTCGAGAACCATCCATTAGCCCCCCTGCAAGTTAATTCAAGCGGTCTGGTTGTGCAGAGCTTGACGTGATGGAGGAGCGGACGCACAGGAAGACAAAAAAACATGCACATGTTTTAGTTTGTTGCAGACTTATGCATGTGTTGAATTCAGCAGGCTTGGGTGCACAAGTCCGACAAGTCATTAAGCACTTACTTCCTTGCCGATGTTTTTGGTCAAGCTTGGTAGTCGAGCCAAAATCTGATGCAAGGAATTGCCGGAACCCGTATGTTTTTTTTGCTCTTCAAGCCGAGCCATGCAGACCGGTAAGTGAGTGAACTCCCATCCCCGGCCCAAACAGAAAAAAAACACGCCACCGCCCAAACAATCACAAAAAAAACCGTCCCCGCCCAAAGAGTAAAAAACAAAAACACGACTCCCCGCACAAAAACAGCAAAAACATACGCCCTCTCACCCGCCCGCCCAAACAGTAAAAGAAAACACGCACACATCCCCCCCCCGAGCCACACCCTCGCCCAAACAGCCAAAAAAAATAAACAAACATCAAAAAACATAAGCACAACCCTCCAAACAGCAAAAAAAAACATGCACCCCGCCCAAACAGCGCTCTTTTTTTAATCGTTTGAGCCTCGGCTGGGCTTATGTGAAGCGCCCGCGCATATTTGCTGAAAATCAAATTGTGTTGCGGAGACATGGGGGAAAGGGGCGGGAGCGTGTTTTTTTTTTGCTGTTTG